ATTACTGTATTCTCATATCTACAGTACTGTAATAGTATGTTTCAGTCATATAGTGATTTCGGTCTACTGTCGATCAGATGAAAAGCACTAATAAGTGAAGAAACACACTGGAAAATCTCCATCAGCCTGAACAACCTGCTCAACTAGTCGCTCATTCAGCCGTCTCTCTAGTTGACACACAGGCTGTGTTCAGAATGGAGTACTAGTGTACTACACACTATATACTGCATACTGGTTTTTAAATATGTGAAACAGTTTGTAATATACAACGCTAAACACTTCAAACAGTATTTGTTTTATTGTTGTCACCTTGTGCCAAGCTGCATGTTTAATTCCGCAAGTGGCATCCAGAATGCACTTGTAATCTAATTTTTATGTAATATCTTCAACTTTTGAACTTCTGATCAAACACCGAGTCAAAAATGAGAAAAATGTGCCTTATATTGCTTCAATATTACCATTTAGTATGTTTATTACTCTAGTTTAGACACACCGAAAATCCATCAAATCGAGCATTGTGCAATATGATCATATATGTACTATGAACAATACTGCATGCTGCCAAAACAGTAGCATGCCATTCTGAACACGCCTTCATATTCAATACTGTTGCCTCTTAAATCTGTTTGATTATCACATGTTGCTCCGGCTCCATGCCAACATGAACATGCAACACTAAGAAGAAAAGATACAAATGCACAAGACAAAACTGGTTAGTACAGTAAAATAATCAGTATTAACTATATCTAACCCACCTGGGCTAAATGGAGGGAAAGTTTTATATTAAAGACAAAATACACTTGGCTCCATCTCAAAGAAATCATAATTCATGTCTTCTAATAGTCTAAATTTAATTTTGACTGCACTCAGTTTGAGACGGAGCCCTTCCAGGGAAAGTTTAGTGAAAATCTTTACAGGTGATATAAAGTAACCAAGTGCTTGATATAAATTAGTTATTAAAGTTATAGAAAAATGCTAAATAAAAAAAATAAACACACAAAGGACAATATTCTGGCCACATACTCACTACAAAGATTTGGAAGTGACAATAGAGTTTTCTTGAATCCTATAAGTTACTGTCCCACATGCCTCATTCATCAAAAACAAGCTGAGCGTAACAAGCCGAATTTCTGCGTGCACTCTCCATTTCTAAATATTAAATGAAATTGAATATGTAAACTGTTTCGGTTTCTTATTTCTGTGTTAATCGTGTGTGTGTGTGTGTGTGTGTGTGTGTGTGTGTATATAATCCAGTGTAGACCATAGATTTGTATATAGGCTATATCTATGGTGTAGACAGCATCACTGATTATAATGAGTTCTATAGTATTTTGTCGTGCCGCGCCACTCGCGTCCGGTGTAGACACGGTGTAACATAGGTTTTGCTTTGTTTCACAGAACTAATCATTGCCTGGGTTGCGTACATATGTGTGGGGCGGAGCTATCAAAATAGGGGCGAGACCCTTTTGGGGTAGTGGCGTGTTTGTTTTGGTGATTTTAAATGTCAACATTGGCTACCAGAAATCGCTTACCCCACCTTTAATGCAACAGACAAATGGTTTTACGAACCATCATTAAACAGAGGCTGAACAAATTTCTGTGTAAGTTTTAGTTTGCGAAACCATATTTTACATGGACTGTTGCATTCAAATCGATGCAAATTATATACACATTTCATTTTTGTAAATACTTATTCAGCTTGTTTTATGGTAGTTTCTGTTTTATCAAATGATGTAAATGCATTAAATTTAATACAATTAAATTGCACTACTGTTCAAAAGTTTTAGATCGGTTTTAGTCTCTTCTCCGATGGCTGTATTTACAGTAAGAACAGTAATATTGTGAAATAGTTGGACAATTTAAAATAACTGTTTTATTTATTCCTGCGATCAAAGATGATTTTTCAGCATCATTACTCTTCAGTGCGTCACATGATCCTTCAGAAATCATTCTAATATGCTGATTTGCTGCTTAAGAAACATCTAAACTTTTTGAATGATAGTGTACGTGAGAACGGTCTGGCAATTTCTGGATTACGTCAATTGCTGCGTTCAGATCAATGCAAATGACATAATCCAGAAGTCATAAAACCATTGTTACATAAATTAGTTGCATTCAATTTAATGCAATCATTTACATAATTTTACCCCATAATCGTTACATAATTTGGAATGTTTGTCTAGAGTGTTCATAAAACCTTTCAGTTCAATGCCATGATTTATAGGATAATGGTTGTACAAACTACAATGAAAGATAAGTTGAATGAATTTCTTAGTAAATTAGTCTTAATAAAAACGTAATAGAATTGATGCATTCGATTTTTTCGGACGATTTGCACATGGTTCATCTTTGTTGTGTGAATGATTGTTGTGCACAGAACATCAAACCATCTGGGTTTCGCTGCAGTGTGTATGTGGCCACGGTACGCATCTGACTGACACTGGATTAAATGCAATATGAAGTCTACACATCTCCACTCCAACCATTCTGCATGAGTCCATTTCCTCTAAACATCAAAAGTGAACGTCTCGTTTAAAGGGTGATTTTTACGGTGTTTTGATGAACAGTCCTGTTGGATCGATCAAAGTTAGTGTTGTTTTGTAGTATTGCTGGTATTCGACATGTTGCCAGATGGCGTAAAAAAAAATCAGTGACGACTCTGCTGAAGTTCATGGCTAAGGTCAGAGGTCAACTGTAATAAGGTTGAAGGTTTAATGTTCGAGCATCAGTCCAGAGGTTGCGGGTCGGCTACAGGCATGGTGTGCAGAACCTCGTCCAAGAGCTGCAGGGCGCGGTGCAGATGAATTTCGATCCAACACGGGGTCTCCTTGATGCTCTGGCGAGGGTAATCGGGACCCCAGCCCTTGACGAAACTCATGCGCAGAATACAGAGACGCCGCAGGTCGTCCACGCCGATGCCCGCCGCAGCAGACAGACCTGAGTACAGGCAGACCCGATCATTACAAACCCAGGTAACACCATTTTACTATTTTATTACTCCGTTTTGCCTGCTTCGGCGGGAGAATGCAGATGTGACTGAACATCAATAAATCATTTCATACCAGTATTAAAAAAAAAAATAGTGCTTTAGTTAGCATTAGTTAAGTACTTTAGTTAACATGAACTAAGCATTAACAATACTTCTACAGCAATTATTAATCTTAATGTTAATTTCAACATTTACTAATGCATTATTAAAATCAAAAGCTGTGCTTGTTAACATTAGTTAATGCACTGTGAATTAACAAGAACCAACAATGAACGACTGTATTTTCATTAACTAACATTAACAAAGATGAATAAATACTGTAATAAATGTATTGTTCATTGTTTGTTCATACATTAACTAATGTAAACCTTATTGTAAAGTGTTACTAAAAAAATAAATAAATAAATAACTTAAAACTGAATGTCATGAAAATGATTTGGCTACAGTATTTATTTATTATTATTTTTTCAAAGAACTGTAAACAGAAATGAATGTCATAAAAAATATTTGTTTCTAATATTTGAATAAGAACGTCATGAAAATCATTTGGTTTCAGTATTTTTTTTTAAAGAACTCTTAACAGAAACGAATGTCATGAAAATTATTTGGTTTTAAAGAACCAGTATAGGACCTGATTCTAGTAATATATAAAAAAAAAAAAACTTAACAGAACCGAACATATTTTTTTTTTTAAATAAAGAATCATTATAGGATTCAAGCATCTTGAATCATTCTGTTCCAGTATATGTATATATATATATATATATATATATATTTATTTATTTAAATAAAAAATCCTTATAGGATTTGAACTTCCTGAAAATCATTTGGTTCCAGTATTTTATCTATTTATTTTATTATTATTATTTCTTTTTTTAAGTTAACTGAACTGAATGTCATGAAAATCATTTAGTTCCAATATTTAGAAAAATTTAAAAAATAATAATAAAAAAAAAAAATAACATTTATAGAATCGAAGAAAATCAAAAGCTGTGCTTGTTAACATTAGTTAATGCACTGTGAATTAACAAGAACCAACAATGAACGACTGTATTTTCATTAACTAACATTAACAAAGATGAATAAATACTGTAATAAATGTATTGTTCATTGTTTGTTCATACATTAACTAATGTAAACCTTATTGTAAAGTGTTACTAAAAAAATAAATAAATAAATAACTTAAAACTGAATGTCATGAAAATGATTTGGCTACAGTATTTATTTATTATTATTTTTTCAAAGAACTGTAAACAGAAATGAATGTCATAAAAAATATTTGTTTCTAATATTTGAATAAGAACGTCATGAAAATCATTTGGTTTCAGTATTTTTTTTTAAAGAACTCTTAACAGAAACGAATGTCATGAAAATTATTTGGTTTTAAAGAACCAGTATAGGACCTGATTCTAGTAATATATAAAAAAAAAAAAAACTTAACAGAACCGAACATATTTTTTTTTTTAAATAAAGAATCATTATAGGATTCAAGCATCTTGAATCATTCTGTTCCAGTATATGTATATATATATATATATATATATATATTTATTTATTTAAATAAAAAATCCTTATAGGATTTGAACTTCCTGAAAATCATTTGGTTCCAGTATTTTATCTATTTATTTTATTATTATTATTTCTTTTTTTAAGTTAACTGAACTGAATGTCATGAAAATCATTTAGTTCCAATATTTAGAAAAATTTAAAAAATAATAATAAAAAAAAAAAATAACATTTATAGAATCGAAGGGCACAAAAATCATTTGGATCCACCACTTAAAAAAAAATAAAAAGTTCATGGATTCCACAGACTCTAATCTTTCAGTTACCAGCCCTGATCACCACACGAACCGCTGCTCTGTGACTGGGCTTCATTAATAATGACAGAAAACTGATGTAATATGGATCTATACATGTATAAATGAAAGTTAATAAGACTTACTGATAGCAGGGGCGATGCCTCCCACCGAACCCGGGCCTGGGATGTTTCCCACCACCGCAGCCGCCTGCGCAGCTGCTGCAGCCTGAGCCGTCGCCGCCTGCTGCTGCATCTGCCGATGACACTGACGCAGATCAAACACCTGCAGACACCAAACACAGACGTCACGCAGCCGCACGCCTTTGATATTCAGTAGTGATGAAGATGCTGAATTACCAGTGAAGACATGTGGAATTATTCTTGAATGTGCTACTCCTGCAGCCATACTGTACATTTTTTGTTAGTTAAAGGTGCCATAGAATGCATTGATACAATATTTTAAATTGTTCTCTGATATCTATATAGAAGGTATGTGGCTTAGGTAAGGTCAAATAATCTCCAGAAACGGTTTTACATGTCCATTCACAACCCTAGGATTTGTACCTAGAATGAAATGCTCTGTTTTTACCTTATTTGGAAGGGTCATGAATAATAATGTTGAGCTCTGCTCTGATTGGCTGTTTCACAGTGCAGCTCAATGTTGAGCTCTGCTCTGATTGGCTGTTTCACAGTGCACAAGATTTACACAAGAAGGAAGAAACAATGGTGTTTGAGGCTCACGGTATGTCATTTCCATGTACAGAACTGTTTTATTCAACTATGCCAAGGTAAATACAGTTTTCCATTCTATGGCACCTTTAAAGCCACATAAAGGATGCTATTAGGATGCAAACTTGTTACACTGCACTGAAGCAGCAAATACCACAAAAAGACACTTTGACTACTTAAATGTGGTACATCACCAGTATAAATGAATTCTGCTGCTCATACGCATTAAGTCAAAGTGAATTAATTTGATAAATGCTGCAGTTGACTAGGTTGACTTTTTCTCATTTTATTAGTTGCATTTAGTGTAAATGTATCAACAAGTTTACTGCTGTCACATTAACTAAGATCCTTATTGTTCTTAGGCGAGATAAACACTGAAGTTTGTCAACAGAAAAAAAACAACATTATTTTGTAAACAAATTACGATTAAATATTCTGATTGTAAATACAGATCATGATATAATACGATCTTATTAATATTATTAATAGTTTCACGTGCACATATAATTTAATATTACATATTACTACTATTTCGGTTGGAAACAAATATGATTTATTATCATTTACTTATTAATATTTTGGTTGAAATCATATTTAACTGAAATATTATAAAACATAAAAAAGATATTGAAAAAACTAATAAAAAAAATACTAAAACTTTAAAATAAAAACTGAAAATATAAAAATAAAATCAAATTCAAAATATGAATAAAAATTATAATACTATCTCAGTGATATTAAAATATCACTGATAAGGACAGTGTTAAAGTTATATTTTATTTTATTTCAGCTATTTACTTCAATTAGCAAAACATTTTATTTTACAATAAAATTTAATGATAATAACCCTGTCTGGGACAGACTAATAATCTCGATGTACTAAAATAACAAATAAAATTAATAAAAACTATATAACATATAATAATATTAATAAAAATGACAAAAACACACAACAAAATTACTAAAATCTTTAACTAAAACTGAAAACAGAAAATGCAAAAAATGAAACTTAATTCACAATATAAATAAAAATGCGAAGTGAAGTGACGTCTGGCCAAGTATTATATTTATTATTTAATATAATAAATATAATAATAATATAAATATAATAAATAATATAATACTAATACTATATACTAAATAATACTGAATACTGTAAACAAATACGGCTTATTATTCATTACTGATATTCTAAATAAAAAAAAAACATGTTACTTGAAATAAAATAATATTGAACTGAAATTTAATAAAACAAAAAAATAATGAAAAAACTAATAAAAATGACAAAAATACACATCAAAATTACTACAACTTTAAAATTTAAACAAAATATAAAAATAAAATCTAAATCAAAATATGAATTAAAAACTATAATACTGTCTCAGTGTTGCTGAAATAACACTGTAAAGGACACAGTGTTAAAATTATTTCTATTTTATTGTATTTCAGCTTTACTTCAATTAGCAAAAATGTTTGAATAGTTTTCGTTTCATTTAACGATAATACCCCTTTCTGGGACAGACTAATTCTTCTCTCGCATTTCATTTAGTTTAACTTGATGTACTAAAATAACTGAAATAAAACTATATAACATAATAATAATATTAATAAAAATGACAAAAACACACAACAAAATGACTAAAATCTTTAACTAAAATTGAAAACCGAAAATACAAAAAATAAAATTGAATTCACAATTTAAATAAAAATCCTAAATACCACTGATAAGGACACAGTGTCAGGGTTACCAGTGACGATTCAATCACCACACCTGGCTCTCTCGATGGCCTCTGTGCGATGTACGTTACTCAGCTGGCCGAGACAGAAGCGATCTCCACCTGACGGGTCCACATAACCGTCCACCGTCACCACGGGACAGTTAGACGGCACCTTAAACGTCTCGCCCACCTGAATGTCCATCTCAAAGTACGCAATCGAGCACCAGTAATCTGGAGCTGAGCAGAAGGCCGCGCAGTTACAAATCAATTAGTACATTCAACACTTATATCACAGGATTTTAATATGAATTCTGAAATACGCATATTTAAAATGTTAAATTATGGCTGCATAATGTTTTGATTCCTTCTCTGATGGGAAATCTACGGGTGACGTCACGGACACTACGTCCATGTTTTTATACAGTCTATGGTTAGCACAGGCCCATTAAATAATATTAACAGACAACTTTTGATTTTAATAATGCATTAGTATATGTTAAAACTAACATTAACTCAGATTAATAAATGCTTTAGAAGCATTTGTCAATCCATTATGTTAACAAGATTGTAAATACAGATCATGATATAATACGATCTTATTAATATTATTAATAGTTTCACGTGCACATATAATTTAATATTACATATTACTACTATTTCGGTTGGAAACAAATATGATTTATTATCATTTACTTATTAATATTTTGGTTGAAAACCAATATGATTTAATTTCATTATTTAATATTACTATTATTCAGATTGCAAACACAAATAGTATTTCTTCTTATTATTTAATGTTATTAATATTCTGATTATAAACAAATAATATGATATAATATTTATTATGTAACATTACTAAGATTTTTATTGTAAACTTATATGATTGAATCTTTCATTATTTACATTTAAAAAGACCTTAAATAGCTTAAATGTTGTTTTTGTTTGTAGACTAACTACTAGTAGTGTGGCTGACTCAGAGGTTGCTTGACTGTAGTTTAACTACATAAAAAAAATCTAAAGTAGCGGCCTCACACTGTATACACATGTGTGACCCTGGAGCACAGAACCAGTCTTAAGTCGCTGGGGTATATTTGTAGCAATAGCCAAAAATACATTGTATGGGTCAAAATAATAATTTTTCTTTTATGCCAAAAATCATTAGGATATTAAGTAAAGATCATGTTCACAGGCCCATTAAATAATATTAACAGACAACTTTTGATTTTAATAATGCATTAGTATATGTTAAAACTAACATTAACTCAGATTAATAAATGCTTTAGAAGCATTTGTCAATCCATTATGTTAACAAATGAAACCTTATTGTTAAAAGTGGTAGCAAAAATGTTTTTAATATATTTAGTTTCAGTTAACAATAACAACTACGACAGACTAAAGGCCTGTTCACTCTAAGATGATAATAATAAGTTTTAATAACGAGAATAGTGATGTTCACATCACAACTATAACAAGAACAACCCCGAGGAATGATATGATTGGAATCACTCAGAACGATTATTTTAGCTGAAAAACACTGACAGCCAATCAGAATCCACCTGACTTTAAAGAGCTTGAGCATTTGAAGCAGCAGGTGACAAAACTGCAGCGTGTGCTTACAATAAACATGCATTGGTGTTAGTCACTGTTACAGTTATCGTTCTTGATCTTTATCTCACGTACTATAGTTTCTCTAGTTAGTGAATCGGGATGCAGTGTGTTTTATTCCTCACCTGGATGGGTGGATATGGGCGGCTGGAACGCCAGCTCATTATGCACTGACCCTGACAGACAAAGAGAAACATTTAATGATGAGAGTAAAACAGGCAGTGATGGTAGTTAGGGGCAGTTCTAGTGACTCACAGTACTGGCCCGTATGAGGAAGAGGAGGGTGGTCGGAGCTCGTCCAGCCTCGCGGTCCAGATAATAGCTCTGCACAAACACAGCGTGGTCACTGAGGCAGTGCACCCACACGTCACCCTCTCCTTTACACTCCAGCTGAACACCTTTACCGATGTGAAGCCTGGAGGACAGAGAACAGTTTGCAGCTTAGAAGGGAGAACTGTAGAACTGTATGCTGTTGCTTACACTTCTTAAGGACCAGGGTTATTACACTAACTAAAACCACACAAAAACAGAAATCATTTTGATTGTAAACAAATATGCTTTATTATTACTTAATTCTTAATATTCTGATTGTAAACAAATCTGATTTCACGTTATTAATGATTTAATATTACTACTATTGTGACAATAAACAAACAATATAATTGAAAATGTATTATTTATTGTTAATAACATTTCTTTATTATAAACTTAAATAATATGTTTTAATAATACCAGTGTTGTTAGTTTTCCAAAAATAAAACCATAAACAATCATTTTAATTAAATAATTTTTATTGCAAACAAATATGGCTTATTATTCATTATTAATATTCTAAATAAAAATAAAACATCAAAATAAGAAAAAAACTCGTTCTTACTTGAAATAAAATCATATTTAACTGAAATATTATAAAACATAAAAAAGATATTGAAAAAACTAATAAAAAAAATACTAAAACTTTAAAATAAAAACTGAAAATATAAAAATAAAATCAAATTCAAAATATGAATAAAAATTATAATACTATCTCAGTGATATTAAAATATCACTGATAAGGACAGTGTTAAAGTTATATTTTATTTTATTTCAGCTATTTACTTCAATTAGCAAAACATTTTATTTTACAATAAAATTTAATGATAATAACCCTGTCTGGGACAGACTAATAATCTCGATGTACTAAAATAACAAATAAAATTAATATGCTTCCTCTGGGCCATGAGCTGGGGGCATCTAATGGAGGAAAACATGTGGATATCATACACTCTCAGAGCTATATCAGAGCATCAGGTACCAGGACAATGTTCATTTGACAGATGGGCTATAGCTAGAAGATGCATGAAGTGCTGCATGACATGTAAATAGGCGATGCATTCTGTCCTGCTGGTTGCACAAATGGAAGAAATACTGACTTACTGGTTGGACCTGCAGCCATACTGGTGAATGCAGATGTGGAGGCGGAGCTTGCGGAGTCGGCTGGCGGCAGGAGGGCGGGGCTGTTGAAAGCGTCAGGCGGGGCAGAGGAAGAGGCTGTGTGCTGGATGGTTTGAATACTGTGACCTCCATCAGCAGCAGAATGAGACGGCTGACCATCGAACTCATCCTTCACCAGGGGATCTACACTCGGACCTACACTTACACAGGCTAAATGACTTATTCACCAATCTGCAGTGGATCACATACAGTTATTCCAAAATAAATTCCACTAGGAAACAGACTGTATAAAATCCTGCTTATTGTATGGCTAATTAGCAAATCGATTAAATAAAAGGACATGAAACATTGATTTGAATTTAAATTATTTAAAATCGTCAGAGAGTGATTGGAATTTTTTTGAAAGTCACTAATGCTCACCAAGGCTGCATTTATTTGACCAAAAACAAAGTAATACTGTGAAATATGATCTCCATTTAAAATAAATGTTTTATATTTGAATATATTTTAAAATGCTATTTACTTCTGTTATGCAAAGCTGAATTTGAGTGTCACATGAACCCTCAGAAATCATTCTAATATGCCGATTTGCTGCTCAAGAAACATGTCTTATCAATGCTGAAAACGGTTATGCTTTTTTATATTATAATATTCTTTTAAAACATTTTAAAATAAACCATAATCCTTTTATTTCAGGATTCTTTGATGACTAGAAAGTAAAAAAAACAAAACAGCATCTTTTGAAATATAATTTTTTGTAACATTATAAAATGTAGTTACTGACACTTTTGATCAATTTAATGTAAAGTCTGTCCCCAAACTATTGAATGGTAGCATGTGTGTCTTGGGTCAATTTTACAATTTATGCAAACATTTTTTTAAATGAATTATAACAATACGCAAGTACAGATCATTTAAAAAAAATGTTTTTAATTAAGAGCACCCTCACCTGGGCCGCCCAGAGTCAGAACAGACAGATCTGAAAATGGAAAGACAGAGAGAGATCATGTAAATAAGAATTATCCTACATAGTAAGAAAGTTTCAATTCGCAGCATGACAACAGAAAACAATCCACCGATGCTTGGAGACACGACCCTCTCGTAGTGGTACGGGTTCACACACACGCTGTCGCATTTCAGGTCAAAGGCAAACTGGCAGTATTTCACATGTTTCAGCTCGTTCTTGTGCAGGTCCGGCCATCGCCACAGCCGTGTGTATATAACATGAGGAAATCCTTTACGACCGGCCACCTGAGAAACAAATGAAATGTATCTACACATCACCACAGCAGAACTGTGCTCACGGAAGATAAAATATAGAACAGAATTTCATACCATAGTAACTTCCATTTATAGATCATCTTAAAGAAATAGTTCACCCAAGAATTTAAATTTTCTGGAACTTTATTCACCCTCAGGCCATCCAAGATGTAGATGAGTTTGTTTCTTCATCAGAACAGATTTGGAGAAATGTAGCATTCCATCACTTGCTCACCAATGGATCCTCTGCAGTGAATGGGTGCCGTCAGAATGAGAGTCCAAACAGCTGATAAAAACATCACAATAATCCACACCCCTCCAGTTTATCAATTAACGTCTTGCATGTTTGTAAGAAACAAATCCATCATTAAGGCATTTGAACTTTAAATCATTACTTCCGGCTAAAATACAAGTCTATAATAACTGTTTTGTCCAGTGAAAAAATCGTCTCATCTGCATCGGAAGAGAAATATGCACCCATCAAGTATGTTTACAAATTAATACTGTTTTTAACAAATATGTTGGTGGATTTTGATGTGAAAGGACAACATGGGATGGACTTTTTAACTGGGAGAAGTGTTATTATGGACTCATATTTTAGCCAGAAGCGAGTTTGAAGTTAAAAATGTCTTGATGGATTTGTTTCTTACACACAGATTTTCTCTTCACAAGACGTTAACTGATAGACTGGAGTGGTGTGGATTATTGTGATGTTTTTATCAGCTGTTTGGACTCTCATTCTGACGGCACCCATTCACTGCAGAGCATCCATTGGTGAGCAAGTGATGGAATGTTACATTTCTCCAAATCTGTGATGAAGAAACAAACTCATCTATATCTTGGATGGCCTGAGGGGGAGTATCAGCAATTTTTTCATTTTTAAATGTGAGCTACTCCTTGAAGACAATAAAACAGTGCATTTTAATAATCAAACAGACCTGCAGTCTACCATCTAGCGTGCGTTGTATAGTCACACATTTACTGGGATGAGCTCCGTTCGTAGTGATGGCAGTGATCAGAGAGTCTAACTCATCCTTCTTCTCTTTCAGCTTCTTCACCAAGCTCTCGATCGCTCGTTTGGAGAAAGACTCGCTCTCTCCTCCCTGTCGATGGCACATGAGACTGTGGACGATGCTCAGACAGGCATCATTACTGGTGGGTGTGCTGGAGACGGACATGCTGCTGGAATTACACTCAACCACAGGTGAGAATAAACAAACCAACGTCCTTCAACGCGTCTGTCTTCACACCTTGGTGTCGAGACGTGGTCCACACCAGCCTAAAAACACAGAGAGACTGTAAGCATGACTTAATATACAATATTTTGCACTATGCTTTAGAAAACAAACATACAATTATTTGACATGCCTATAAAGCATGTTACATTGAATTCAGTCAGAAAAACAGACAGATATATATATATATATATACACTGCTGTTCAAAAGTTTGGGATCAGTAAGATTTTTATTGTGTTTTAAAGAAGTAATTATCAATGTTGGAAACTTGCTACTTAATTTTTTTTGGAAACCGTGATACTTTTTTCAGGATTATTTGATGAATAAAGTGAAAAAGAACAGCGTTTATTTAGAATAGAAATCTTTTTCCAATATTGATGATAAATCAGCATATTATTATGATTTCTGAAGATCATGTGACACTGAAGACTGGAGGAATGATGCTGAAAATTCAGCTTTGATCACAGAAATAAATTCTATTTTAAAGTATATTAAAATAGAAAACCAGTATTTTAAATGGTAATAATATATTACAATATTACAGTTTTTTCCCCCCTGTATTTTTGGTCATAAATGCAGCCATGATGAACATAAGAGACTTCTTTAAAACACAATAAAAATCTTACTGATCCCAAATTTTTGAATGGCAGTGTGTGTATATATATATATATATAAATGATTTTAGCAAATGGCTGCAATATAACAAAGAGTGAAAAATTTAAGGGGGTCTGAATACTTTCCGTACCCACTATATATACACACACACACAGACAGATAAATAAAAATGCATTAAACTAAAACAAATACAATTAAGTAGATTATGTTCAAGACTAGTGAAACATGAACTAATTGAGAATTTACATACCACATATCATTACTATTGATTACACCGTTGTGTTCATATTTATGCAGAATTGTTGATTTATCCGTTTAATTAACATCTAAAACAGCGATGATGGCAACACAAACCATCCCAGTGAAGTCAGACTGATCTATTCAATTACAAACTCATCAAAAGCACATCATTACGCTTAATTATTATAGCAGCTAAATATGTGAACGCGATAATAATAAATCACAGTCCAGTCTGTGACAATACTACTGATCTCACTATGAGGCTAACGAGCTAACCGACTAGCAGATACTCCTTATATATGTGGGAAACGGGCAAATAAAGTGCCTACTTTAGTGCTAGAGCAAAGTATTAAGTGGAAATTAAATATAAAATGAGAAACTGCCAACAGTAACACTTACGATGCATGGCGTCAAGGCACGGACCGTCTCTACGTAAGCGTGGTGACGTCGCCGGGAGCGTAAACACGCCCCGCCCACACAGATGCTGTTCTAGGTTCATGACTGAAAACTGCTAGTAAAACAGCTGGTCAATGTGTAACATACAGGTGCATCTCAATAAATTAGAATGTCATGGAAAAGTTCATTTATTTCAGTAATTCAACTCAAATTGTGAAACTCGTGTATTAAATAAATTCAATGCACACAGACTGAAGTAGTTTAAGTCTTTGGTTCTTTTAATTGTGATGATTTTGGCTCACATTTAACAAAAACCCACCAATTCACTATCTCAACAAATGAGAATATGGTGACATGCCAATCAGCTAATCAACTCAAAACACCTGCAAAGGTTTAAAAATAAAAAATAAAATAAAAAAAGGGGGGGAAAAAAAGGTTAAGATGTACGGATAATCACCTAATTTGCTTCAGTCCAACAAGTGTTCATCTTGAAATATTACTAACAATATAAAAGTTATTCATCTGTTTACTTTATAAAAATCAATAAAGATTAAACAACAAAAAGACACGTGAACCACAAGCTGAAGGTGGACATTTTTACAATTATACTAAAAGGCCTTTTTATTACTTGCTAAAAAAAAAGCCTAAACAATCAATCAGACGACAGAAGGCATGTAGTAGATTGAGTGCAGCAGGTTTTTCTCATGTTGATAATTTAGAGGTCTCTACAGGGTAAAGTCATCATCATACAGAACACTGAAATGGTTCATACATGTCATTAGACATTAATCAGGCCAAATAAGATGCAGCAAGACTTACCAACCTCAGTTCACTGGTCCAGCAGCCTCCGTTTATGAAAATAAAATGATTAACATAATAAACAAGTTAAAATCTCACCTGCTCAGGGACGTCCAACAGAGACACATTTACTCAAGAATTCAGCTCTGAATAAATAACACTCTAGAATATGATAAAAACTGACAGACTTTATTAAAACATTTCCTTGAATTAAAATATAATTCTTAGAAAAAAGTGTCCATACTTAAGTCTTACAGGTACTACTACGGTGTCAAATTCTTCTTGAGCGCAATAGGCAGCGTGAGAAAGTCTTCAGCGAGGATGACCTCCATCTTTGACCCCCGCAGCACAAGCTCAGCCGGTCTCTTAAGCTCGGTTACGTCATCGTCGCCGTCTCGCCGCAGTGTTTGGGGTTTGTAGCGTTGACTGAAGTGGTGCAGAACCAGCACACCGCAGTCGAGCCATGCTGAGAGTGCTATGCCCATGTTCCACAGCCTTCTCCTGCTGCCCGTCCTCCAGTGTGGCCTCGTGCACCAGCACATCTGCCCCCTGACACGCCCTTTTAAACCCCTCACACAGCGGCACACTGCAGTCCCCGAACACACACACCTTACGGCCCTTCAGCACCTCGCCGGCGGTCAATACACATCTACTATCTAGTCACAGACTCTCCATTCTTCAGACACCCGTATAGAGGTCCCGGTTTCAAACCTGCAAAAGACTACATAAAAAGAGATTTAAAACATTTTTATCTTAAAGGGATAGTTCACCCAAAAATGAAAATTCTGTCATTAATTACTCACCCTCATGTCAGTCTAAACCCGTACAAATTAAGATATTTTTGATGAATTCTAACAGCTCTCTGACCCTCCCATAGACAGCAATGTAATTACCACGATCAAGGTCCAGAAACGTAACAAGGAGATCGGTAAAATAATCCATGTGACATCAGGGGTTCAACCGTAATTTTACGAAGCTACGAGAATACTTTGTACGCAAAGAAAACAAAAATAACGACTTTATTCAACAATTCGTCTCCTTCGCGTCACCCTGGTGCCATTTTGGAGGAAAGTAAACCGCGTATGCTGTTCTGTGTCAGCCACACCAGACGGATACATTGTTTTCGTTCAAATCAAAGTGTAAACAACGTGGAAAAAGTATGTGATGCAGCTGACACAGAACAGCATACGCTGTTTACTTTCAGTGGATATTCTCCAAAATGGCGCTACAGGGTGACACGGAGGAGACTAATTAAAAAGATAAAATGGATTCAATCAGGGCTGACACGGTTAAATAACAGCAACAACAGTGGCAAAGCTGGATGCTATTTCCAATAGCTATATCCGTAAGTGGCTTGGTCTGCCGCAATGTTTTTCAGATTCAGCACCGTTTGGAAGAAATGCTCTTCAGCTTCCAATAAAGAGCATCTCACTTGGGTACAGGCTGGAGAAGACCAGGCTTGTACTCGAGTTTAGACAATCAAGTGACTATTTTGTCCGAAACGCTGGTGCCAATGTAGGAAGTGGAAGGCAGAGGAATGTGTCGACAATGCCATTGCCAACCTGAAGCACCAAGAGGTGGTTGGAAAAACCCAGGAGGGAAGACAGGGTCTTGGCTGGGGTGAACCATGTAAATTCTGGTCAAAGGCATCATCAAAGGAGCGAAAAAATCTAATGGTCACAGAAGTGATGAGATTGGAAAGGAAAGACTTCTTGTGACAGCTGTTGGTCAAGGCCAGTGGACAAAGTGGGCTGACATCTTACCAAGGTCAGTCAGCTAGAGCGACCTTTGGAGAATTCCCCAAGCCAGGTTAAGTTTCATTATTAGATCAACTTATGACACTTCCCAGCCCAGTTAACCTGGCACGGTGGTTTGGGGCTGAAGAAATCTGCAGCTTGTGCAATGCAGCTCAGGGAACCCTCCACCATATTTTGTGCAGGTGTAAAATTGCTTTGGCTCAGGGTCGCTACAAGTGGCGTCACGATCAGGTGCTACGGAAGTTGGCAGAATACACAGAAAGAGCAAGGATGATGGCAGCCGGGAGGCATCAGAGCCTTATGACTCAGCTCGTCCAATTTGTAACAGCAGGTCAGGTAGTGCAGAAATGCCTTTCTAAGCACAGGACTTCAATCCTGGCTAGTGGAAGTGACTGGTCATTACGAGTAGACCTGGACAGGCGGCTGCAATTCCCCGCTTCTATTGGGCAAACCAGATTGAGACCGGACATTGTGGCATGGTCCGAGATGAGCAAACTGGTGATGCTAGCGGACCTGACAGTGCCTTGGGAGGATGCAGATCACGAGGCATACGAGCGAAAAAAGTCACGGTATGCAGACCTGGTAGCAGAATGCCAGGGAAAGAGCAACGACTTACCCAGTGGAGATAGGCTGCCGTAGGGTTGCAAAAAGGTTAGAATGTTTTGTAAATTTAAAAAGGTTAGAAATTTCCAGTAAATTTCGGAAACATTCCCGAAATTTTGGAAACTTTCCAGGATTTTTTGGAATATTCCAGGGATTTTTGGAAAGTTTCCCCAAATTTACAGGGAACTTTCCACCCCTTTGCAACCCTATTTTTTGTACACATTAAAGGTAGAAATGTATATCAAAAAACATATTCACATTTCAGCTTTCTGGAAATCTAGGCTGGTAACTGAAAAAGAAAGACCGTTCAAATCCCAAAATGCTACCCAACTATAATTACTGTGCATCTGATAAAAAAAAAAAGGTTCATTGTACCTGTAATGTGTATATTTTAAAATAAACTGCTAAATAATAAATAAAAAAAAATAATAATATTTAATAAATTAATCAGCTTTTTGCCTTTAACAAGTTACCTAGTTCTTTCAACAGGTCTGTGTTTAACCATCCTGGACGCTCTCGCTCCTCCACCGAGAACCCAAACGATGGGACTCTGTGGTAGAGCACGAACCACAAACTGTTTGTCATCGATGAGGTGGTAACAGTCCGTGTGCGGGTCCAGCCGTACGGTTCAGCCGGGCCGCTCCTGTGGGTGAAGCGTATCGCTGCTCGCGGTCAGCGCAGGACTGAGATGCCCCTCCGCGGGACACTGCTCATCCGACGGCTCCAGCTCGTGCACGGCATACGGGAAGAGCAGCTGCGAGCTGGACAGCTCTAACGCAGGAAGTGTCTTAACCTCCGCGGGCCGTAGATGTCCACGCAGGGTGGAGGCTGATCCGGCTGGGGGTTTGAGTTCAGACTGATGGTGCACAGCAAACCAGGAAGACCAAAGAGATGATCACCATGGAGGTGCGATATGAACACTTTGGTGATTTTGCCTGAACAGGGAACATGGGAAAGTTGAAAATATAAGACTACATATGTGTGTGTATGTATATATATATATATATATATATATATAGGTGCTGTGTGTACATTAATGAGGAAAAAAAATTAACTTAAATGATTTTAGCAAATGACTGCAAATATAACAAAGAGTGAAAAATTTAAGGGGGTCTAAATACTTTCCGTACCCACTGTATATATATATATATATATATACACACACACACATACATATCACTGTTTTTTGAAAGAAATTAAAACTTTTAATTCAGCAAGAATTATTTATTCAATTTCAATTTTCCATTCACAAAAATATTAACATATGAACAGCAACTGATTTCAACATTGATAACAATCAGAAATCGTTCTTGAGCATCAAATCAGCATATTAGAAATTAGAATGATTTCTGAAAGATCATGTGACACTGAAGACTGGAGTAATGATGCTGAAAATTCAGCTTTGATCACAGGAATAAATTACATATTAATATATATTAAAACAGAAAACAATTATTTTAAATGGCAATACTATTTCACAATATTACTTATATAAGCATAGCACTTTTCATGTCAATTAAACACATTCTGGGTCCAAATTGTCATGTATTATAGAGGGCTTTTTTTCTCTCAAATGTGATTTTCAATATAGCCTACAGTGATTTATAATGCAGTATTTTCATTACATCAGCATTCATTTTAAATTAAATAAGTAAAGCGGTAATACAATAACTTCATATGAGCATGCATACATTTAAAAATCTGTTAAAAATATTGTGTTGTTTCATATAAGCATAAATTCAAATTGGAACCTGTTAAAAAAAACAATTAATACAATATTTTGAGCAGCTAAATTAAAGAAATCAGTACAAATATTATATATATATATTTTTTAATAAACTAAATAAAAGGTAGTACAACAAATACTACCAAGAAATCTTAAACAATAGATTTTTATAGCAGTAGTGATTTTTTCCCCCCTTTGCAGTAATTAAGACATTAGTGAAGGATGTGATTATTGTCATGAAAGTAATAATTAAAACACACACACTGATGGCCCTAAAGGGGCCTAAAGTATTTCTCATAAGCAAAAATAATGTCTCATATGTTTCCGTTGATTTTGAAATACAGAACTGATATTTTTTAACAGATTCATGAGATTCACCCAAAAGCGGACGAGCATGCAACATGTAAATACAACACGAAACACCTGCTGACAACTCCAGATGCATTCAAAAGAACTCAAACTGAACCAGCACGAGCTCAGACATTCAGCAGACCTGCATCACTTAAAGCACTCACTCGCTTTAAGTGAACTCCTCATGAACTGAGTCTGTGTTCCCTCTCCCTCTACTGATTTTGGGAAGTCGTGGCCTAATGGTTAGAGAGTCGGACTCATAACTCAAAGGTTGCGGGTTTGAGTCTCATACCGGCAGGGATTGTAGGTGGGGGGAGTGAATGTACAGTGCTCTCTCCCACCTTCAATAACACGACTGAGGTGCCCTTGAGCAAGGCACCGAACCCCCAACTGCTCCCCGGGCGCCACAGCAAAAAAAAATGGCTGCCCACTGCTCCGGGTGTGTGTTCACGGTGTGTGTGTTCACTGCTGTGTGTGTGCACATTGGATGGGATAAATGCAGAGCACTAATTCTGAGTATATGGGTCACCATACTTGGCCACATGTCACTTCACAGTCAAACAGCCAACTTTCCCCTCCGGTCCTCAACACCAGCGCAGACGCGCCGCGACTGGGAGACGGATACGCTGGAACGTGATGTCCATGTTTTGCATGCATGTGACGACTAACAACGTTAACATCCGGGGCACGAGTACGACGCCGACGTATTATTTAAAAAATAAAATTATTTCAATTTATAAATAAGATGTTAAAAATGTGACTGATATTATGTCTGGTCCTTGTCAAGTACATTAAGGTTTATTTTCAGGGACACTAGAGGTCAGCATAACATCACACACTAATCTAATAATATGTTGCAGCTTAATCAGAGCACAATTGCCAAGGCAACGTTTGCATGATATTAGTATTAATTTAAAAGTAAATCAGTAAAAAATGTATATCAGCATAAATTAAAAAATGAGCAAAAGTATATTTTAGTGTATACTATTTTAGTATTTTACTATATTAACATTCTATTTTTTCATACAAATAAATTTTAACCTGTAAAAATATTATGAAACCGATATTATAAAACAATCATTAAAATAAAAATATTACTATATTATTGCTGTTTTTTATTTGCTGACATAATGTCCTTGTATTTATTTTTTACAGATGAAAATGTATTTATATGGGAAAAAAAATATTAGTATTTTTTTTACAGAATTCCCAAGGCATCTCTTCTTATTTTTAATTGTATATAATTCAACGTTAGCATATTAGCATTTAAAAGTAAATTAGTTATATATATATATATATATATATATACATATATATATATATATACATATACATATAAAAATGCACAAATTTTAAATCAACAAATTTAAAAATCAGTAAAAGTATATCTTATAATATATGCTATTTTAGCATTTTACTAAGCATAATTTTAACTAATTGTATATAAATTTTAATATATAAATAAGTAAAATTAAAAAAAAATACGTATTATATTTTTTACTGGTTTTTAACATTTGCTTGTAAAAAAAAAAAAAAAAACTACCTTATTTTGACAGATTAAAATTAATATAAAAATATACTGATAATAGTAACTATTTTTTTACAGAATCCCCAAAGCATCTCTTATTTTTATTTATGCATAATTCCCAGATGGTGTGTTAGTTTACTTCAATTAGCTGGCATTTTTAACTATAACATATTTAAAATAATACTTAACCTCCTGAGACCCAGAAAAAAAAGGTTTTGTGAATTTAGTATTTTTTCATGTCATTTCATTGTTTAGAGCATAAGAAAAAAATCACAATAGTGAAACATATTTTATTCATATGCTATGCAATGTCCTATGTGAAGGAAACCAGGACTCAATTAAAAAAAAAATTATAATAAAAAGACATGAATGAACATGAATAGGCAAAAACAATAAATCATCAATACATTTTTAGGTTTCAGGATTTTTTTATTCTAAACTTTGTATAAAGATGATTCTCAACTATGCTATGAAATATATAACATTATAATTTGATATACCATTTTGCTTTATGCATAAGAGGATTTCCCCATAATATACAATGTATCTACTGTATCTAATTTGCATATTAATGTGTTCTTGGGGCAACATGAAATGAAAAAAAGAAGTGTAATTGGCAAGATTTTCATAATATCTAATATTTCATAGGAATATTGACATTTAATTTATTTCCCTATTCATTTGTTGTGTCTCCCAATATGCTGTTACATAAAGTTATATTTTGATTTGAAACCCCATAACATTTTCCTGAGATGATGATTTATGACAGTTCAAAAATAAGTCAGATTTAAATGATAATTACCAAAGATTATCATATTTCCATAAGAGTGTTAAATTTGATCACTAAATTAATATCAGCCATATTTTAAAAATCAAGGAGAGGGAGTGTTCATGGTGAAACCTCCAAATATTTGGTATCTCTGAGAAGCACTGAATGTGCTCTGTACAGGACATCCAGACTTACAACGTCTCAGAGAAACTCACTACAATATAATGTCCTCTACTGACGACAAAAGTCTCAGGAGGTTAAATTACTTCAAAATGAGGGCAGCAAACAGACTAGCAGTGATTCGAGCACAAAGGTTTTATTCTGCACTTGTAACAGCGCACACAGGGTTCTGAGCATCATCTAGTGTTCAGACACTAAAGCAGCATCACATAGCAAAATAATCTCTACCCACAATGCACCTGCTCATCACCTCTCGATGCAAGGAAGGACTGCATACAGAAACATTAAATTACATCAGTACAGGTGCAGTACAACATTGATCACACCAAAGTCGCGCTCGTGTGTGTGTGAGACGCGGGAGCTGAAGGCAGCGGGCGCTGGATATTTGTGGTGGTCAGTGTGGATATTGTGGATGAGATCTTCTGTGTCATCAGGTTCTATTAGTTCTACAGCTTCAGTTTCTGAACTTTCACGCTTAGTAACACATACAGCGGTTCCCTCACCACAGTGCAGCAGTGAAAAGAGACCCCTTTCAAACAGTGTCGCGTTCCCAACGTTGTTTAAGTGACATATACCGGTATTGCGGTATTTTAAAAATTCACATCATAACAAAAATAAACGCCGGTATTCGGTATGAACCGGTATACCGCCCAGCACTACACAGGGCTGACTTAAACGAAACATCTCAGTGTTCGTCCGGAACATACGAGTGTTCACTAGATATTTTGTAGGGTAAGGTGTCAAAAGAAATATAAAACCGGTTTTCAAACTTCTGTGAATTATGTTGTAACGTGTTGTTCCGCCATTCCCTTTGAATACACGTACTGCATCACCTGTGCACAAAACATACAGCGTCTTAGTAAGGGGTTCTGACAGAAAACACGTGGCATTTGTGTCCCTTATCAGGATTCATGAGAGTTTTATGAAGGTAAACTGAAGACTTTTTAAAGACCAATTAAAGAACATTTTCAAAGCTTGAAAAATACAACAACTTCCAACCAATTTCCATTTCTTTTCAGAAAAAAAAAAAAAAAAATAAAAAAATTCCAGGATTTAATTTGTGAAAGGGCGATCAAGACCCTTTTAAGATCTTTATAAACCCTGCTATTTATATACACATGGTGCACGATATTGGGGGAAAGAAAAAAACACTACAATATTTAGTTTTTTTGCTGTATATATTGAAAAACAGGGATTTATGGAAGCCCGCTTCCGCCACTGAAAAAAAAAAAAAAAAAAAAAGGTTATGACTTATCATCTCGCAATTCTGAACTGCATGATATAAACTCGCAATTGCGAGATAAAGTCAAATTTTGAGAGGAGAAAAAAAAAGTCGTAATTGTGAGATAAAAAGTCGCAATGATCTTTTTTTCTTTTTTATCCAGTGGCAGAAACGGGCTTCCATAGGGATTTTCACCAGATGCCTTGAATAATCATTTTTTTAAAAAAGCATTTAGAGTTACTTGGGTTGTTTAGTTGAGTGCATCTGCACAGAAAATAAAAATAATTTTAAAAAGCCTGACAAAAGTCTTTTTTTGTGACATTTTGTTAGGCCTGAATGATTTTGGGAAAAACTTGAAAAATGTGAGTGTTCATACTTTAGTTTTCTTTTTACAATAAACAAATCAAACCTTTTTCAGCAACCATTTCAAAGTTGCCACATTTCCACTGTTTTATACCAATTCAATATGGCTATAAAATAATAATAATCATCATGATTTTATTGTGATTATGAAATAAAAAATATTAAATGTGAAATGTTGTAGTAAAACTACTAAATGTTGTAAAAAATAGTTATAAAAGTTTTATTTTTTACTGTATAATTATAATTCTAATATTTACTTAATTTCTTTATTTTCAAACTGTAAGCCATCAAGGTTTTATTTTGACGGGTTGCCAACAAACAAAAATATGTTCTGCTGGTTTCAGAGCGAAGCTCAGAATTGTATGTTCTTTATGCTGCCTTCATGTGCCATCAGAAATTTCCTTTCTGAAGATGCAATTACAAGTTTGTTGCAATCAAGTGCTTTGCTGTCAAAAAAAAGAAGAAAAAAAAAAAAAAGAGAACTCATGGCGTACAGCCCATTCATGAGTTGATTCTTGCCTATTTCTTGGGGAAATCTTTTTTTAAAGCCAAATTGTATAGAAGATATTTAGTCAATATCCAAAAGATATTTAATAAAATGTAGCATCCTATTCATTGGTAACCATAAACATTCACCGCACTATCTAGATATTCAGCTTGCTGATGATTCAGAAAGATTTGGTCATATAACTGCTACTTTGGCTGTGTACAATACAAACAAAATGCATCAAATGGTTATTTATATGCATAAATATACATGACTGTAATGACAAGAGAAAGCAATGTAGATGTTGTGGGAAAAGCAAATAAAACATAACAGTATTACAGCTGTTTCTCTCCTTATACGTTTAAAGTTTAAGAGTTTCCCAGTTGCAAATACGACTTGAGTAGCCGCTCATGTCCGATTTGAATCAAGTCATTCTCAGATCGTGGACTACATGTGCGTAAATGCTGTGCTTCACTCTGAACCAAGTAAAGCACATCTTAATCCAATCGCAGTCTGTGACATACTGTGTCCTAAAACACACACAGTCTGACCTTGATGGCCATCTGCAGTGACACCTCTCTGATGTTGGACAGGGGTGGATACAGTCGGCCCTGACTCAGCTCTTCATCTGTCAGCTGATCCGCCAGCGTCTACAAAACAAACAATGTTTGATCAAGTTACAATATCAAATATTAACAAAAACGGGTAGTACAACTTCTGCTTTTTACACACAGGCCATATAGGGCTAATAACTTATGAAATAACTCTAGAGATGAGCATGTTGCTAAATATATGCACTACATTACAAATTCATTATGTTCTTGATTAAAATGAAGATTTATTCAAACATACACTCAATAATGAAAACAAGTTATGACAGCCACCATGTAAAGGTTTATATCAACTTATATAACAACTTATTTGTATAAAAAAAAAACTAATACAACAATTTTACTTGAGTTGATTAAATCCATTTGATAGATTGATTGAATATTTAATAACATTTATTTTCAGTTTTCAGCTAAATGTAAATGAAAACTTAAATTTTGATAAAACAACTCTTTTGGTTAAATCTTTTGGATAAATCAGCTACAAAAATTCCTGAAAACTAACATCTTTTGTGGTGAGATGAGACAATATTCAATACTGTACAATAAAATGAACTATACTATAATGATGAACTATAACAATTTACCCCTTTTGAATTTAAAAATAATGCACATATAAAAAAAAAAAATTGTTTTTAAAAAGTATAATCTGGTCTTAAGTGTGGTTCAGGATTGTGTATTTACCTTTGCGGCCTCAAGGAAGACCGTATCACTGATGTGTCGCACTCCACTGAGTATAACAGCCAGAGCTACACCTGAAATCACAATCACAAACTACAGCTCAACACTCAGACCGGTTTTAGACCATCTGTGACCCTTGACCACAAAAGTAGTCTTAAGTCGCTGGGGTATGTTTGTAGCAATAGCCAAAAATACATTGTATGGGTCAAAATGATAGGTTTTTCTTTTATGTCAAAAATCATTGGGATATTAAGTAAAGATCATGTTCCATGAAGATATTTTGTAAATTTTCTATTGTAAATACATCAAAACTTAATTAATTGATTAGTAATATGCATTGCTAAGAACTTCATTTGGACAACTTTAAAGGCAATTTTCTCAATATTTAGATTTTTTTGCACCCTCAGATTCCAGATTTTCAAATAATTGCATCTCGGCCAAATATTGTCCTATCCTAACAAACCATACATCAATGGAAAGCTTATTTATTCAGCTTTCAGATGATCTAAATTTTTGTGAGATTGCAAACAACCCCTCAAGTTTTGTGGTCCAGGGTCACATTTGTTCTTAAGCATCTTAACATGCTTGTTAGATCTTAGCAACTTTAAAATGTGGATGTGTTTAGAGCGAACCATTAAAACAGCCATCACTATTTGACTGTAATTAGTCCATGTAATTAGTCTTCTTTGGCTCTCAGCGAAGGCGGTCGCATTTCCTCTCCCTCTCCTCCCCGTTACCTTCCCTGCTTTTGCTCCTCTCGTCTTGTCCACTGTCCT